CCTTCGCTCTAGTCTTACACTGCTAAATTAGGGACGGCTAGCGCAGATAGCCGTCGTGTAGTTTTGCGCGAAATTCAAAAAATAAACAAGAGTGCTATGTCAAGATAGTTTTTGAGTCACAAATACAATTTTGTTTGTACAAGGCTCTAAATTCTTCTTATTTTAAATAGCACCAAAATGGTTGTTCAGATTCAAAAATTTATCGTAGAAAAGACTGCGAAAAATCATAACTAAGTATTTAGAAATTTATCTATGATAATGAAACGCAAAAAATATTTATGGATCAAAATCACGCTCATTTGGAGGTTTGTGCTTGAACTTATGATTAATACTTAGCACATAAGTAAACAGACAGAGGCAAGAAAAATACCCTGTATAAGTTGGTGCTGTTTTGTGCCTAAAAGAAAAAAATAACATAGTGAACTAATCACCGAACAGACGCCACTTGTGACGCTATGATATGTATAACTTAGTTAAAAGTGGCGAATCGTATGATAGATTGGGCTTCGTATTTATCTAAAGTATTTTAAACAGTTTGTCTGCTGAATAATTCAGAACAATAAATTGGTAGCATCAGTGTTAAATATTTGTCAAATCTTATATAAATATAGGTTCACTATAGTAAGTAAAATAGAACTCAAAACACCAAACATATAAACTAACAAAGCAGTTATATATGTCCAGAGAACATACGCGAGTAGAATATTCACCTTAAGGTTCAGGATATTCACTCTTACAGGTAGATGCAACACAGCTACTGGTCCAGATCCATTAATTTATTCTCATCCTCGACACGCACCAGCACGATTCCTGTTTCTTTTAGTCACATTCTAACATTCCCTTCTTCGTAATGGCTTTTACCCAGCTTCTTGGAAGAAGTCAAGTATTCTACTCTTCCTGAAACCATCTAAGTCTCCAGTAAACATTAAATCTTATCGTCCCACTAGTCTTCTTAGCAAAAACACTTGAAATAATTCTCGTTCACAGAGCATATTTTCATAACATTTAGTGTAACATTCTTCTTCCCACTCAAGCCGTTTCCATCTTTCAACGGTGTATCAGCTACTCAAATTATCTGATGTAATTACAAACCATTTTAACACTTCTAATACATCTTTTATTTTTGTGTTTGCAAATGCTTTCAATTCTGTTTGGCATCAAGGATTAATCTATTAACCCGAATATCTGCAACTTAAAATTATGTATGTCCAACATATTCATTGTTTTAATTTGGATCGTTCTGCCACAGTCTTTACAGAAGGCACTCGCTTCAATTACTTTGTCTTGGGTGCCGGAGTTCCCCAAGGTTGAGTTTTATCACCCTTGCTCTATGAGTTTTATGTTTCTTACACGACACTTCCTTTTTCTCCCGTTTCTCTCAATCAATATTTTGATATACTGATGGTCACGTACAAGACTGTGGTTACTCTCAACAGGATCCTACAAGCTGTTATCAATAAATTCTCGATATGGCGTCGTCGCTAGCGTCTTACCATTAATGTTCGTACAACCGGGGCTTTTCTGTTTGACCCTTAGCGACACAAGTTTCGTTAGTGTCATGACCCATCTTCATTTAATATTTGAGTTAAGACAATTTCGCTCCAACTCTCTGACACCGTGAAGTATTTTGTACTCACTTTTGACAAGCATTTTACCTGTAAAGTGCATATAGTATACTTGAATAACTAAATCATATCTTCACTTCGCTGTATTTCCGCTATCTACTGGGGTTTACTCCCTCCTTTACTTCTTTAAACATAAAGTTTGTTTGTTTTTGAATTTCGCGCAAAGCTACACGAGGGCTATCTGCGCTAGCCGTCCCTAA